TGAGACTAAAATGCACAACACAGACAAGCCCAATTGGAAAAATATAGGACAGAAGACAACAAAAGCATACTTCTAATACACTCCATAGGATCAAAAGACAAATTATAATAGTACAGAATCTGCATCAGAGTGAATGTATGTAATTGATTTCAGAAAGAGATAGTTTGTTGAAGCCCAGCGATGGGTATTAAGGAGGGCATGTACTGCATGGAGCACTGGGTGTTCTATGCAAACAATGAATCGTGGAACACTACATCAAAAACTAATGATGTAATGTATGGTGATTAACATAACATAATAAAATAAAATTTAAAAAAGTGTACAAGCTTTTGATAATTTTTTTATTAAAGTAAAACAATTTTAGGAATTCTATGAAGTCTGCAGCTTAATTAATTTTTGCGATATAATCACAAGTATGTAACCATGATCCAATTTTCCAATATTTTGTAAATAAAACTATACCACCACCAAGTGTATATATATATGGCTTCTACATCTACAGATGCAGCAATGACCGTAAGTTCAAACATTCACTGAGTACCTAGTATTTAGGCATTGATATTTGCATGCATTATCTCACACAATCCTGTAGAAAGCACATAAGAGGAATACTGTTGTCATCTTGCTCTTTATCCAGGAGAAAAGTCAGGCACAGAGACTTTGCTAACTTCATGGCTAGTAAGTAGGAGAGGATGTAGATCCGGGCAGTCTGGCTCCAGACATGCTCCCTTAACCACTATACATTATTCATTCAATTACATGATGAATATAAGGTAAACTTGAACATGAGGTGATTTGTCATGTGCCCAACGAGAAGTTTACAAAAAATATTTTTTATTAATTTGAACATATACACATTTGGGAATGTAGATACAATTATCAACTAACTGCAATTTTAGTATGTATGTATACACATTTACATATATATGTATAGAATCACGTTAGGTAAATTAGCATATGTATTAGAAATATTGCCCTTTTTATACTCATGTAACACGAGAGTACAGTCTAGTGGTTCAGCACAAGGACTCTGAAGCCAGACTGGGTTCAAATCTCACGTCTAGCATTTCCTACCCTATGATGTTTGACAAGTTATTTAACCTCTCTGTTCTCAGTTTCATCATATGTCAAGTATATAGTACCTACCTTGTCAGGCTGTTAGGAAAAGTAATTGAGTAGAAAGGTGTGAAGGGCTTAGAGCAGTGCCAGGTATATAGTAACTATATACCGATATTAGCTCATACCTTCCCCCCCCCCCACATGCTTCACTGCACCGTTGGCAGGAGGGGTTCTGCCATCACCAGAGCCCAGCCCTCTGATGCTATGTTTTACAGTATTTCCCCTTCTAAGTTGTTTGAGACACAGAACTTCCACTACTGCCACTGAAATTCTTATCCCAAACCACAATATCCATTCACCTAATATTAGAAATGTTTGATTGGCTATTTAAGAGGTTGTCTGGGCTCTACAATAAAAATACAGCATTGCTTTAAAAATTATCTTTAAAATCCTTTTTTTTTTTTTTTTTTTTTACAGCACGAGGCACTTGGAATATTCAAGTCAAAATCCCAAATAAATGTTAAGTTAGGGATAAATTTCTTTGCCTTTTAAAAACCCAATTTGTCTAAAAGCATCCAGTGTTGTTCCAGGCAAATCTGACTTCCCAAGAGAGTAATTTATTGTTCCAAGTAAAATAATTGAAATAACAGAAGCAGAATTTGAGGAGGAAACTCTTTTCTAAGGGATAAAGGATAATTTGGAGGAGATATAATTTGGGAAATGGAGTTATATCTTTAATATTCAGGGATAGTGAAAACAGATCTTGGGCATTTACATTGGTTTTTACCGTAATCATCAGGTTTCATTGTGGAACTTGACATGATAAGTACTCAGCTGCCAAATCCTCACCTAATTTGGGGCTTGTGGATATAACTGAAAGTAGGGGAAACTACCCATGTCCAAGCCAGAATTTTCTGGCGAAATTCTCCATGACATATTTACTATAAAACAGAGGGGAAAGAAGGCAACTCTAAAATCTAAGCACAATTTCGGGGTGCCTGGGTGGCTCAGTCTTTAAGCATCTGCCTTCAGCTCAGGTCATGATCCCAGCATCCTGGGATCGAGCCCCGCATCGGGCTCCCTGCTCCTTGCCAAAAAGCCTGCTTCTCCCTCTCCCACTCCCCCTGCTTGTGTTCCCTCTCCCGCTGTCTCTCTGTCAAAAAAATAAATAGGGCACCTGGGTGGCTCAGTTGGTTAAGCGACTGTCTTCGGCTCAGGTCATGATCCTGGAGTCCCGGGATCGAGTCCCACATCGGGCTCCCTGCTCAGCAGGGAGTCTGCTTCTCCCTCTGACCCTCTTCCCTCTCATGCTCTCTCTCTCTCATTCTCTCTCTCAAATAAATAAATAAAATCTTTAAAAATAAATAAATAAAAATCTTTAAAATCTAAGCACAATTTCACTGCTGCCCCCAAAAAACGAAGTTTTCTCTGTGTGTTTAGGAAGTATGTAGAAGTGTTAGTGTGTATTCTAGTATGATAGTCAAACTAATTAGAAGATACCACTCATTATTAGAATGTTCTTTTTTTTTTTCTTTTTTGGTCACAAGTTTGGTAACTGAGATACTACGTCCCAGAGATGCCTGGGCCACTGTTACAAGCCCATTTCATGTTCTATCAACTCTTGACCTGGTTAAGACTTCCTACTCCTAATGAACCCAATTCAGTGACGTTAACAGAGGTCAGCACATTTACTAAGTACTGCAGTTTGCTTTAAAATAACTCTCTGGAGACTATCCTGAGGTGGGGGGATGCAACACCAAAAGAAAAAAAAAAACTTTTTTTCCCCCAAAACGAGAGGTCTACCTGACTAGCCCCAAATTGACTGTTATTCTCTAAGGGTTTTCTGCAGGATACCTTGGTTTATACTTCAAACAATGTGGAAGATTTAATCATGTAACTTAATTTTTTTGCTTGTCTTATTGAGTAAGGGACAAGTATGGCTAGGAGGAAGAGACAGGTAGGGGGAAGACTCGAATTTTCTTTCAACCATAAGATCACTAAGTAGATGAAGTAATAGATTATTGCATATTGTCGATAACTGTAAGTTCAGCTTCATAGGTTATATAGCTTAGAGAACATAATCATATAATTTATCAACCAAACTGGGATATTTTTGATAGCAAAAAAGGGAAAATATTAATAATTATGCCGGAAAAAAACAGGCATAAAATGGGACAATGTGGCTGGCTCTAGCAAATCTGGCCACATGGTCATCTCCCAAGAGTTATGCAGATGTACCTACATCAATAAATTCTAAAATGATTTACAAAAGTTGGTAAATTGAAAAATTTGATGAGCTTTTTCAGAAATTTTCTGATGAAATTAGCTGCCCATTCATCTCAAGAGTATACTCCTTGGTTTTTTAGTTTGTTATGTCCTTTTCCTATTATTATTTTTGTTTGGAGGGGAGTGTGGAGTTTTTTTTTGTTTGGTTGGTTTTATTTGTTTGTTTCATACAGAGTGTATGTTGAAAAAAACCTTTTAACTAGTGAAATTGTATTACTCCTTTGGAAACCGTTCCCAGAGCAATGGCCTGGTTTCTTTTGTAAAGACCATGGGATTTGGGGGCCAGCATATGATGCAAAGGCTAAATTTTAATACCATAAGCTCTGAAGACAGTTCTGCTCAGTGGTTAATACCATGGCATTTGGAGTTAGGATTCCTGCACTTTCAAAAAGTGATTTAACTCTCTATAACACGGAAGCCAGAGCAATCAAAAGGAAAGAATCTACTTATGACACTCTTCAGTTCATAACCTTCAATGGTTCTCCTTTGTCTTTTAGAACCAAAACCAGAATCCCACAAGACACTCTATTCCTGGTCCTTGCCTGTTAGCTCCAGCCTCAACTCCTACATGGCTCTCCTCCATCGCCTCTCTAACCATCCCTGCTTCATTTAAACCAGTGATTTCCAAACTCTGATTTTATCCAAGAGACATTTTTAAGTTGTCACAAGGTGGCAGTGGGGATGGGGGGTATGCTACTGGCATCTAGCTGGTAGAGGTCAGGGATGTTGCTAAACATCCTACAGCACACAAGGCAACATCATTCGTCCCCCTCCCATCCCCTCCCTGCCCGCAAGAATCATTTAGATCAAAATGTTAATAGTGCAAAGATTGAAGAACCCTTATTTACACCTTTTCTGACACCATGGTTTCCCTAATCCTAGGCCTTGCACACACTATTCTCACTGCCTGAAATATTCATGCTCTTCCCCTTCCCTCATTTCCCTTTTCTTTAATAACTCCTTTTCACCCTTTTGATCATCACCTTTTCAGTGGCTTTCCCAATTTTCCATCCCAGAGGAGTATTACACCCTTTCAAAGAATTATGCAGCACTTAAGAATATTAGTAACAGTTTTACATATACTTATATGTGTTTGATAAACCCACCCCAACGAATCCCAGGTGAGAGGTACCATTTAGCTTGTATTCATCATAGCAGCCCCAACAGCTAGTACAGCCAGGTGAGTTGTCCTGCAACACTGCATTCAGTGTTACTAAATGAACACTTAACAGCCTCACTTACAAAAGGAGAGTAATAGAGTAATCATCTCATTAGGTCGTAAGGACTAAATAATACACATAAACTCTATCACACTGTTTCTGGATCACAGTAATACCAGAAAGACCGAGCTCTGTGTAGTTTGTGGGCAGGAGAGTGGCTCTATCCGCTCAGTATCAGCCAGCACATCCTCTCCCGGGACTCCGGTGGGCTAAGGACTTCTCCCCTCCTCCAAATAGTAACTAACAATTGCTGTGCCTGCGCTTTTCGGCCTCGATTGCTAACCAGGCTACCGGAAGTATTTTCCTTCTTCTCATTGGTCCACCACTGGTCTAATTTCTTCGGTACTGCGCATGTTCCACAGCAGGTTTCTTCCTCCCCGGCCCCGCCCCGTATCCGCCCTAGAGGGGCACATATCTGCCAACACGCCTGCGCGAGCGGGCGTGCCCCGGAAGCAGTTCTTTGGCCCTGTGACACGTAGCAACGGAGTGAGTTCAGGGTCTTAAGCGTTGTTGGGGGGTTTTGGGGGTTGCTGGAGCTGCTGACGCCGCTACCGCCGCTTCCGCGTTTGGTGAGTGTCTCAGGCTTGTGGCACATTGTTCGGCTTCTCTTCACTGTTGTGTGACTTGGCTTGTTGCCGCCGCTCGGCGCCGGGTTCCGGTCATTTCGCTCAGACCCTCACTGCCTTTCAGGCGCTTGCTTTGACGCTGCCCCTGTGCCTCATTCGCGGCCTTCCAGGAGTCCTCCCTTTCCCGGAAGGCCCAGGCTTTATTTTGCAAAGAGACAGTCGCCTTGTCAGCAGCAGAGTCTGCCCTGAGGTGAGGAATCGTCTTTGTTGTTGATATCTTAGACCTCCGTGGAACCAGTTCTCCCACGCCCCTTCCCCTAACCAGGGCATATCGGCTCCGTGAAGTGCAGGTGTCTTCCCGGCTCTTAGAGACTAGACGTTTCCTGTGCAGCTCCCACCTGGACCTATCCTTCAAATGCCGTTCCCCCTTCCAGAAGAAATAATTTACTGCCTCCTGAGGCTTTTTGCTTTGTATCGAAATGAAATCAGTAGGACCTTGGGTATAAACACTATTTGTCATTTTTCTTCTCTTTCAGATAATTTGCAATGGCAGGGTTTGATAACTTAAACACGGATTTCTACCAGACAAGTTACAGCATCGATGACCAGTCACAGCAGTCCTATGATTATGGAGGAAGTGGAGGACCCTATAGCAAGTAACTTGTCAGCTTTGACAATATTTAGTCCAGACTGAAGTGAAAGCCGGTGTCCTCGTTGTTTGGTTCTGCCTAAAACTGAACGTGTCACCATGTACCTTGTCAGGAATGTGATTTTTTATAATCTTCCTTCTTCTGGAAGGATCTGTGACACTGGTTTGGGTTTGAAGGGATTGCCCTATTTAGAGTTTGGTATCTTCTGCAAAATCTTCAGGTGTGCGGTGGCTGCAAAAGTAGATTGTTAAGAACTGTTTCCTAGTAATAGTATTTCTACATCATTTAGGATATGGCTATTAGCTTCAGGTATCTAGAAGATACCTAGACTACTTCGTCTACAGAACCAGTTAAAAATTTAAAATCTTGTGACGGCTAGGTTAAGAAGTTAAATCAGTCGAAATTTCAGACCTTATCAACATTAATTCAGAGGGCTTAGTGACACTATTTAGCAGTGTAAGCTCTCTGTTACGAATCATCAGGTGATTTCTTTAATAGCAAGTGATAATCATCTTTATTACTGCTCATATCGAAACCTTACGGTCAGTACACGCAGGTTGCCAGTTGCTGATTGAAGAGGGGGACTCAAACCCTTTCGGCCCTGAACTGTTAAGAACAAAACCAAACCCTGACTTTTTAATAGTCCCTGGTGTTAGTGTCAGAAATACATTAGCTGAGGCTTTCCACCATTCTCCTCTAGGACATCATATTCTTAGTTTCTTAGGACCTTAAAGATAATCTCATCAGTCATTTCTGATACCAGGGTGGCTTAACCTTTTTTAGATGGTTCCAGGCCCCTTCAAGAATCTTACAGAAATGGTGCACCTCTTTCTGAGATATAAATCATACACTCAAATGCCCACATAAATATGCATATTACTGCACAGTTGATGTGCCATCTGATGTTCATCTATGAACCCTGAATTAAAAACCTCATGAAGGGTCTGTCACAATAAGGGCAAGGGAAGGTTGTGTACTGAATCAATCTGATAGAAACATGTAGTAGTAGAACATGTTTGAATTAATATATCTGAATGAAAGTGCCCAAGAATTTAAAAAGCAAAGCAAAACTCAAATTCAGCCCTCAGTATGGTCTGTCTTACATAAGCTGTACTTTTTACACCCTTTGCCCCCTTAAGTCTGCTTAATTTGATATATTCCAAAGCTTTTTTCCCCCTAAAACCTAACACATTGAACAGTGGGAGTGAGCATGTGAAAAATACTGTGAATCAGTTGTTTTTTTTTTTTTTTTTTTTTTTCAGTTACATTCTCTTATATTCTATCAGGGATTTATCTTTTTTGAACAATTAACTGGGCAGAATTGGAAAAATTGTGTTGAGAACTCTCCATTTGTTTATTTACTTAAAAATGTTTTTTGTTTGTTTGTTTTAATCTGTGTATGAGAGGAAAATGAATGAAGGATTGGGTAGAGTGCAGCCAAAGGGCTTTGGAAAACCTGTGTCTGTATGCAGGCGTGTTTTTTAACTAAATGATATTTGGACTCCACAGAACTATTACATTTAGATCATAGCCTCCTAGGTTTATTTATCACTGCCTTTCTTTTCTGTCCTGTGTTTGCATCACCTAAACATGTGACTTATCTTTTCATTCCAGATATCATCCTCTCATTTCAGTTTTCCATAGGGAGGTTGTTTAGATATTCTTTTGCTAAATATTCTTACAGTCCCATTGCAACCAGATCATGTGCCAGTAACCGTTGCTTCAGTATAATGAAGTTTTATTGCAGCTGCTTATATACCCATTATTGCCAATTAACAAATTGGAGTTGATCCATGAAGCCTAGGAAAACAGGAAGCTTAATGTATTAGCAGTAATAATTGGGTTTCTTTTATATTTATATATAAATATATATTTATATATATATAAATTTATATATATATATTTATATATATAACAACATTTATATATTCATATAACAACATTTATATATTCATATATAAATTTTATATTTATATATATAATTTATATATATTTATATATTCATTTATATGAATTTATATATTTATATATAATAAATCTGTATTTATATATTCATATAACAACAACAAAAAGTAAAAGGCCCTTTGATCTTAATCTGTTGAGTTTTATGATTGCCCCATTGGACAGGTCCCACACTGTATGCTAGATATGCCTGTAAAATGCCAACTACATATTTTTAAAGTATTTAAAGCTAGTATTTTTTCATCTTTGACTTAACTGATAAATACCTATATGGAATACAAGGTTGATTTAGTCTCTAAAGATCATGTCTACACATGCTGTGTTCTAATTTAAACCCAACAGGAGCAAGCCATGAATTTTCCTGACCAGGTCCTTCCAGAAAAGGAAAACAGGAAAATTCCATGGTGTTGTCTTTCTTACCTTGCATCTTAAAGAAGGAATGATGGTAACACTTTTAAAGCTGTCATCTGCTTGTAGTAATTCTCTTCCTTACATGACATTTATAAGTCTATATGAGCAGTTCTAAAATGTGGACTGCAGACCCCAGAGAATCCTTGAGACCGTTCAGGGAGTCTTTAAGGTTAAAACTATTATAACAATGCTAAGACACTACCTTTTTAGATGTGTTGACATTTGTACTGATGTTGTAAAAACTCATTGGTAAAACTGCTAGTACCTGAATATGAATCAAGACAAGGGCATGAGATTGTTCTAGTAATCATTGTATTCTTTTTTAGTATATGTGCTGCCTAAGCGAGCACGTAATCATTGTATTCTTCATTGCCACACACTTGCTGGGGTGTGGAGGGAACCAGTTTCATTTAAGATAATAACCAGAATTCATTTAATTCATTTCATTTCATTCATTTCCTTGATGAAGCAGTAAAAATTATGATGCTATTAAATCCTGACCCTTCAGTACACACATACTAAAAATATTCTGTGTGACAAAATGGGAAACAGTCATAAAGCACCTCTGCTTCATACTAAAGTACAATGATTATCTCGAGGAAAAGCCCCTGTGCAATATCAGTCGCAGGCTGTATCAGCTGCTTTTCATGAAAACCATTTTTATTGGAAGAAACATCCCGACAGACAAACTATAGTTATTTAGACTTGAGTACTTGGCAGATACTTTCTCAAAGATGAAATAATTGAGCTTCTTACTTCAAGAAAGAATTGACAGTATGTGTAGCCCATGGTTAAATTCAAGTTTTCAGGTAAAAATGAGGATTTGGGAAAACTGTGTCCATTACTGTGAACTTGTCAGCTTTCCAGTAATTAACCATTTTTCTGATGAAATCATTGGTGATACTAACAAATGTGATTTTCCTATATTTATACTTCATATATGTTTTTCTATTAAATAGGTCAATGTTTGGAAGAGCTATATTACACTAACATTTTCTAAATCAGCAGTGAATGTTATGAAATAATACATGAGTAAAAAAAGGATCCATTCAAAGTGCAAGACAGATTGGTGTATTCTAATGTAACAGTATAAAAAGTTTATTAGTATTGTTCCATTTTCTATGTTGCAAGTTAAGTTTAAAAAACTACCACTTTGAGTTTTGATGTAGTATGAAAAGAATATTTATGATAATCCGAAAAGATTGTTAAATAATATTCCAACTATTTGTCTGCAACACTAGATTTTCTTCAGCTATTTCAACTAAAACAATACATCACTACAAATTGAATGCAAAACCAGGTATAAGAATTTGTAGCTTTCTGTTATTAAACCAGATGTTAATGAGATTGTCAAAAATATAATACGGTGCCACTTCTCAGTAATTTTTCATAAAAATTTATGCTGATATGTAACAGGTTTGTTACTTTGAATTAATATTTTAAACATTCCTGTTTTAATTTGTAACGTGATAAATATTGCCAGATATAGTCCACATAAATAAAAAAACCTTTGGGGTTCCCAGTAATAAATTTTAAGGGTATAAGGGGATCCTAAGAGCAGAGAGTCTGTACCATTCTTTTTGGTTTTTCTGTTGCATACATATTCATATTCTGTCTCTTTCTGTGTGAGAGCGAGAGAATAAAATGCAATCTGTTTATGCAGATTGTAGAAGCCTCCATATGGAGCTTTTCTAGCTGTTTCATAAACTTGGAGGTAGATCTGTGATACATTCTAACAGATCAACACAATAGCATACTAAATCAAAAAATATTAGTTCTTGTTCTAGTTCATTTCAACCATCTAATCCTGTGGCGTGTGTGTGTGTGTGTGTGTGTGTGTGTATTTACATATAAAATGCATATAAAATCAACATATTTGCATATAAAAACAACAGGGGAAAGGTATATATGGAAAAAAGATACTATAACTCTCTCCATAATGTAGGATTTGGGAGTTGATTTTTATTATGATTGTTACAAGTTGGCCACTGGAGTCAAAAAGTCTAGTTTTGAATCCTGGCCCCACCATAGGCAAAATCATTTTCACCCAAATATCAGTTTCTACATCTCTGTAATGGGAAGGATGATAAAATCAACTTCCTAAAGTTGTAGTGAGGTAATAGGATATAATTCCCATTAAACACTTGACACAGTAACATTCAAGTAGGTTATATGTATTTTTGAAAATTTTTAGTAGTTAATATATACCTATATGTTACATATAACATTTTAGAATGAATTCATTTTTTATTTTATTTTCTTAAAGATTTTATTTATTTATTTGACAGAGAGCACAAATAGGAGGAGCAGCAGAGGCAGAGGGAGAAGCAGGCTTCCCGCTGAGCAGGGAGCCCGATGCAGGGCTTGATCCCAGGACCCTGGGATCATGACCTGAGCTGAAGGCAGACGCTTAACCGACTGAGCCACCCAGGCGCCCCTAGAATGAATTAATTTTAACAAATAGTAAATGTACAACACTTTAAGGTGCAGAGGTTTTTAATATGAAAATAAGTCATACACTTCCCTGTTTCCAGGTCCTTTTACCTATTTAATTATATGTGTTATACTATGTTATGTTATACCTAAACCTGTGTAATTGTACGTATTATACGTAATGTATGTACATATATATAAAATACATGTATACAAGTATATACATACAGATACATTCTAAAAAGTACCATCACAGTGGGCACATATGGTATATACTGTTCTGAACATTGGGTATTTTTAATTCTGCCTACTGAGTATTTTTTGATTATCATTCCTTATTAGTACACATAAAAGTACCTCATCCCTTTTAACAGGCGCATAGTAGTCTATGCCCCTATTACAGTATATTTACTTGTAACTGTTCGTATTGTTTTTTATTTTTTGCTATTAAAGTAGTGTTTCATCGAATTCTATGTTACTATATAGCCAGAAAAATAAATAGCATTTTTTTAATCTTGGATTGGACTAGCGTGTCTCAGTGTCTGAGCTCTCCAAAGGGCTATGTGTAGTTGAAATTTTGCCATTACTTGGATTTGCTTTTAATCAAGATGTTCAGTTAATTTAAAAATTAGATTTAATTTTAAAATCTCAATATTCATGGCAGTCATTTGATTTTATATTTGTCAGGAGGGAACTATAAAATTTTTAAGGGTGATTAAACTAAAAGGTCTTTAAGACTTCTCAGTTCTTTTTAAAAATATCTTTTAGGGGCTTCTGGGTGGCTCAGTCGGTTAAGTGTCTGCCTTTGGCTCAGCTCGTGATCCCAGGGTCCTGGGATCGGGCTCCCTGCTCAGTGGGGAGTCTGCTTCTGCTTCTCTCTCTACCCCTCCCCCTGCTTGTGCTCTTGTACCCTCTCTCTCAAAAATAAATAAAATCTTTAAAAAAATAAAAATATCTTCTAAAATAACCTAACATACTAAAATAAAATTAAATTTAAAAAAATTAATTATTTTACTCTGTATTTCTTACTGTGTAATGAGATTAGTCCCGTTGATAGGTAAGCCATATTTTTTCCCAGAACATGGTAAAACAGGTTTTTAAAGATACTGCTTCAGCATCCTTCTGTGCCCGTTATTTTCATCATTAAAATAGCCTTGGTAAAGTCTCTTTTTTTGCAATGCAGGATTTACTATAGCACATATCAAATGAGACAATAGTTGTATACCTACTTTGAAAACTTAAAAGTGCTCTTGAAATGCAAGATGTACTAATAATGTTTTGTTATATTTGGAAAGCTTTCACAGAAAGAGGCTTGAATTTTTCCACTCTATTTGAAATTGGTGCTCGTTCTTGAAAAGATTTACCCACTTGCAAAAAATAACATACTACAAAGAGTAAAGAAGAATGAAGAATGATTACGTTCAATGGAGATCCAGACCACAGTGGAAAATTACATAGCATGTAGTACAAAGTCTGTCATGTTACGTTTTCATTCATAGTCTTAGGGGCATCAATTGTATTTCACGGCTATCTTCATATTACATATACTTACTGGAGGGGGAGAAATAGATAAAATTCTTAAGTGTTCATTTGTTGACCACCTAATTTTTTAAAAGTTTCATAGTTTGTAAAATGCTTAAGCTCAGTGTGAGTGTTGGCATCATCAGGAAGGTTCTCTAAAAAGCACAACTTACCATTGTAGATAATCAGATAGGTCTTATCATTTCAACACCATTTACGAAAACTGGCAAAGTAGCTGTTCTAGGAATTGCATGACTGTGACTCTCTAGCTCTCAGAGATATCCACTGTTGACATAATTCTGAGAAATGTAACTTTGATTTACAGACAGTATCCTGGCTATGACTACTCGCAGCAAGGCCGATTTGTCCCTCCAGACATGATACAGCCACAACAGCCATACACCGGGCAGATTTTTCAGCCAACTCAGGCATACACTCCAACGACATCTCAGCCATTCTATGGAAACAACTTTGAGGATGAGCCACCTTTATTAGAAGGTAGGATTGGTTGCAACAGTTCATAGTATTCTGTAGTGTCCACCTGGTCGTGAAAATATATCTTCGTTTGGAGAACTTGTCCTTTCCTTTAAAAGAATAATATAGAAAAAAAGAGATATGAAACCACATTGAGCCATAGGGGACCAGATTTTTTTATAGATCTTTATAAAGTGAAATTATGTCGGCATGTGAGCCTTGACTTTGACTTCACATTACTGATTAAATTCTGTCAGTGGAAGAAATGAAAGGAAATAGCATGGTAATGTGATTATTTTACATGGAAGAAGCTGGCAAAACTAGTAACATGACTGAAAAGTATGATGTTTTTCAAATTGTATTCCCATAAAAAAATGTAAACCCATTAAGCCACAGTTCTGTATACTTTTTTGAGGGGGTTGGATACAGTTTCAAAGTCTAATGAAAACTATGAATACTCTTCTCAGAAGAATGCACACCTGTGCATAGAAACATAGTTTCATATACAATTTCATAGCATCTCCAGATATTCCTGAAGCCCCAGGTAAAGAACCCCTTACTGTGAATGAAGACTGGTATTGAGGACTAACCAAAATGTCTCATATTGCTAGATTCTCTTTTGATGCTGTGTTTCTTTTTGTCTCCTATTGCAGCGTAGATTCTGGTAAACTAAAGGTGTGTCACAAATCGTAATTGACTCTCTTCTTTTCCTTTTTTTTAGAATTAGGTATCAATTTTGACCACATCTGGCAAAAAACATTAACAGTGTTACATCCATTAAAAGTAGCAGACGGCAGCATCATGAATGAAACAGATTTGGCAGGACCGATGGTTTTTTGCCTTGCTTTTGGAGCCACATTGTTACTGGTAAGATTTTAGTTTGAATTCTCAGTGTAAGTTTAGAGAACGATCTTTCAGTGTTCCACCAGGAGCCAAGTTTGAGACTCTGTTTATCAGATCTTGCATGTGTTTTGAATGATATTAAGTTGCTGGAATATATACGCATTCATGACTTCTCCATTGATAAAAAATGTCATATATTTAGAAATAATTTTTTGTTCCAAGAAAATGTCTAATTATTAAGGGAAAAAAACAGTTACGTGTAGCTTCAGTCCCTCATCAAAATTTCTTCTTTTTAGAAATTGACAAAATTTTTTAGCCTATTTCTCTTTTATTTATTTATATATTTTAATGATAGCTTTTTTTTTAAAATCTGTGGACTTTGTGTGGTGTTTTGTTATTATAATGGTGCTGGTTGTTACTTTCCTTTATATTATTTTAACTTTTAATGAATTGGAACATTAAAGGACAAGACATTTTACTGCCTATCTCCTACCTCCCTACAAATGTTAAAGTATATTGAAAATGAATAGTTGTAAAGATAATTTGTTAATATTTGTTGTATTTTATCTTATGTCTCTGAATTAGAAGGGATAAATGATGTAATGGATAGAAGATGGGATTTTTTAAATTTTTTTATTGTTATGTTAATCATATATTGCATCATTAGTTTTTGATGTAGTGTTCCATGATTCATTGTTTGTGCATAACACCCAGTGCTCCACACAGAATGTGCCCTCTTTAATATCCATCACCAGGCTAACCCATCCCCCCAACCCCCTCCCCTCTAGAACCCTCAGTTTGTTTTTCAGAGTCTGTGGTCTCTCATGGTTCATCTCCCCGTCCAGCTTACTCCCCTTCATTCTTCCCCTCCTGCTAGAAAAAGATGGGATTTTTAGTAAGAAAAGCTGGGCATCAGTTCAGTGCTCCTGCTCTGTCCTGGAGCAAGCCGTTTCATCCTTCAGCTCCCTCTGATAGATAATCCTATGATTCCCATTTCACAAGATTGTTTACAGATTATAACCAAGATGGTTATATGAGGACCCTGAAAAATTTTAAAGCGCTGTACGTGTATGAGGTTTTATTATTTCTACGTTAGTGAGTCCATTGGTGAACTCAGCTGAACCTTTTGAAACTTCTACACTCTCATTTATAAATAGTGAGTCTAACAAAAAGGATGAGAATTTTTCCATGTAACATAATCTTTAGAGGCATTCTCATGATTGAGTTTTATATGTCCAGAATCTGACAAACCAGGAAGTTTTTAAAATCTTCTCTGGACTGATTTTCGTCACAGTATGACCTGAATACAATGTTTGTTCATATATCACGACTGAGAGTACTGTGACAGCAAGTTACCTAACTTATACTGTCTTAAGTCTGTTCATTAATGTCTTTTACAACAGCATAATTAAGTTTTCTTGTTTTTTTGTTTGTCAAAAGACTGTATAAATCCACCAACAATTTGGAAAAATAATGAAAGAAAAATATATCTTCCATTATATTTCTCTTGCTTGTTAATCAGTTTTCTTTTCTCCTCCGCTTCCCACAGAACCACAGTGTCCTGCTTATCTTGCCTTCCTTTCTCTTAGCTTCTTTAACAGCCTTATAAAGTGAATGATGAAATTGTTTCTGCTGTTACAAAGATTGCAACTACGACTACCAATGAGAGTAAATTGCTTCGGGGCAATTTTGGTGCTATTAGCTGCTTTCAAGTAATATTAGATATTTTCCAAACATTCTGCAGGGCTTTCTGTCTTGTCTCTGTAGTTTATTTGCTTAAAATCAGCTAGATTTCTTTTTAGAAGTCTACTACTTAAAGGTGATTGTACCATGATTTTGTATCTTTCTTTGCTGAATTGCTCAAATACTAACTGGAAAATGAAAAACCAAATATCTGTGTATTGGGAAGTAGATACTTCAGATTTCTTGAGAGAGATATGAAAGACAATCTGTGTTTTACTCTTCTGCATAAAGAATAGATGCCTCTATAGATTTTGATGCTTACAAATTGAATATCTTCTTACATGCACCATTTTAGGTGAAATAAGACCAAAAAGAACTTACTTTCTTCCCCTTAACCTATAATCTTTTTTTTACCCATAGGCTGGCAAAATCCAGTTTGGCTATGTATATGGGATCAGTGCAATTGGATGTCTAGGAATGTTTTGTTTACTAAACTTAATGAGTATGACAGGTGTTTCATTTGGGTGTGTGGCAAGTGTCCTTGGATACTGTCTTCTTCCCATGATCCTACTTTCCAGCTTTGCAGTGATATTTTCCTTGCAGTAAGTACTGATCTTTATTTTGGGTATTGATTGACCAGTTCTCTGTAATAGGATTTATCTCACCATCAGTTTAAGATTAATCACTGATTCAGCAAACATGAGCTATAGTGCCTGTTGTGAATGAGGTCTATACTACATGCTTTTCAGTGGTGAACAGTGGATCTGAGAATACATTTTAAAATCTTTTATACCATCTCTGCTTTTATCTGTAATAAAGAATTTCACTACTTTTGTGTTTACTTACCAGTGTCAGTAAACCGAACAGTGGTGATTGTTAACTAAAATATTGCATGAAAAATTCAGGTGGTTAAAATTATACTTACCGTCTTTGATATTTTTTAGACTGTGTCTGGTTTCTTAAAGATGTTGGGCATATGCTAAGTGAATGAATAATAAACACATACTCTGTGTTTGGCAGCTTTTTAGCTGAAAGCAAAACATTCTTTTTATGGGAAGAGGCTGTTACTAGCCTGCCATGTTCTCAGCTGTACTTGTAAGCAGTTTTAAATATGTAATTGTTAAATAACATTTTAGGTAAGGTTAAAAAGAAAGGTGTAAATTCCTGTTGATGAATTCTCTCCTCTTGGCCAGTGAGCAGGTTCTCGCTCAACAGTTCAGGCTCCTCCTTGTGGCTAGTGCGAGGCACAACCAGTGATGGGCATTGGTTGCACTGAAGAAAGGAGAGGTGGAGGGGAAGAGCATGCATCAGCTGTTTGATGCTAGGCATTTGGCAAGATGATGGATTCACAGCGTTCTTGATTTGTGTAAAAACGCTTCAGATTTTGTGTAGAAATTGTTCCACCCTTTTCATTTGTGGAGATTGGTACATATATATTTGAATTGTACAAAAGAGACTTTCTCCCCAAGCGGTATTTTCTCACCAGGGCAGTTTTGCTCTCAGGGGCCCTCAGGCAGCGTCTGGAGGTAATTTTGGTTTTCGTAGCTATGGGGCGTGCAGAGCTGCTACCGGTACCTTACAGCTAAAGGCCAGGGGTTCTGCTCAACCACCTAACAATGCACCGAACACCCCTTCACAGAAAAAGTGCATTCATCCCAGGTTGTCAGTAATGCCAGAGTTGAAAAACCTAGCTCCTCTGGTAACAGGAGCAAAATGTAATTATAAATGAGCTTTTTCTCACTTCATTGAATGTGGATGTGAATAATTGAGCATCACTGAATTCACTGTGAGGTACATTATTTTAAGATTTGAAAAAAAATCTTGATCTTTTCTGCAGATGTGTACAATGTGGATTTAAAATGCCTTTTTTTAGAATTGGTTGTTGTTGTATTCTTACATAACTAATCTCATCTACTGCCTTTTTCCCCCTCCCCGTTTTTCCTTGTCGGTTACAGAGGAATGGTAGGAATCATTCTCACTGCTGGAATTATTGGATGGTGTAGTTTTTCTGCGTCCAAAATTTTTATTTCTGCATTAGCCATGGAAGGACAGCAACTTCTAGTAGCATATCCTTGTGCTTTGTTATATGGAGTCTTTGCCCTAATTTCCGTTTTTTGAACTGAATTTATCTGGCATGTGGACATCATTGGGCCAAAAAGGACTTTGAACTCTTAAATTGGACCAGCGAACTGCTACAGTGCAACTCTCATGCAGACCTAACATTTGACTGTTGGAGCAATGGAAGTAAACATGTATCTTTTGTTCATTTTTATAGAACTTTTGAATACTATGTTTGATTTGTCTGCAGTATGACTAGCTTTAAGTGTTTGTGCTTATACAAATAAGAAGTGCTATTTCTCTCCTGTTCCTGCAGCCTTTGAAAAACAAATTTTTTCCTTGCAAATTACATTAAGATGTTTTTAATAGATTTTTATCAACTGTGGGAAACTAACCACACAAGTAATAATCTTTCTTAGAAACAGCCCAGTCTTAGTTAAGAAGACAGGAGACTTATTGCAGAAATATTTTTCCAAGGGATTAGGAAAGAAAAATTGCCTATATTCTCAAGTTAGATGCACATGAAGCAAAAAGTGATCCCAAAGTAGAATTTACGAGTTTGCACTTCCAAAATTTGACGTTCTTTTAAATTATCTCATGGAGTTTTTGCTAAAATTCAACGAGACAAGAAGTTCATAGTCTGCTTTATTATAGACAGGAAATGTGAACACCTGTTAAGATTAGCATTAACTAAACCATAGTGACCCAGACTGGCCACATTAATGTTCATAGTTGGATCTGCATATTTCCTAGGAAAAAGAAAATCATTAACCTTTTTTTGAGAAAAATATTTAAAATGTCACAATTTCAGTACTGCAGTTATCAATGTAAAATGCATTTGATGCTTAGTAATTAAAATTTTCCCAATTTTAACTGCTGTTGAGTTGACTTTTGCTGTTTTCAGTATCACATTTTCTTTAACTAGGTTCTGGTTTTAACTTGTATTCCTGATTTATCCTAAGTTTTAAGAACAGAAATCATTTAGTATAAAAATCAGAAAAAAAAAAGGATTAAGTGAAAGGCAATTTGAGTTACAACATTATTTCCTTGTATTAAATTTATTTGGTTAATGTCGTGCTCTCTTGCCAGAGAATCTGTAGGAAAATGCTGTATCCTGTATTTTGATCATTTGCTTTTTCTGAAAAAACTGCCTCTGATTTTGGACAAGCTCAGTTACACTTATGAGAAAGGTGCCCTGTGGGGAGGAAAGTGTTGCCTTTTTTAAAAAAGGAGAATTTTAGACTAAGTAAGAAAACACCAAACTGATGTTAATTGTTGGTTTTAAAGGTAGTGTTCAATCAAAAAGGAGGTTAATTTAATAAACATATTTCTTATAAGATCATGATTTCTAATCTCTGGAATCATGTAAATTTGTTTTTCTTCATTAATACTTAATCTTCTAGAGGAATCCTCTCAGTAATAATTCATTTCTGGCTGGGTTTTCAAACTTACCAAAGTGTTTTAGAATATTTTTTATTGTAATCCGTGGGTAGCATCTTTTTTGCCTCTTTCAGTTTAGTTTTATAAGTACACTAATCTTGTTAAGGCAGATATAATGCGTGCCTTCTGTTAATATCCAGTTTTTCCTAATGAACAGGATAGATGATGCTTTGGGAATTAAATTTTCTCACTGTTGATTAATCTCAGACCATTAATCTTCAGCCAGATTCCCCAAATTGTTTTCTTATTTTTTGCCTCTCCCACCCCCAAGATAATTTTTAATTTAAATCAATGTTGAGAGATTTTTGTTGTTAGTTGTCTTATTTAACTCCGAAGTGATTAGGTACAGAACCATCTTATATAAGCAGTTACTCTGTCAAAACAGCTATACAGTGGAGTTGTGTTTAATGCAAGAGCTTAGTTTTAGAGTTTGGTACCTGAAGAGTCATGTATAGCCAAAGTTTCCCTTGTAAAAAAATTTTTCTTTAAAATACAATGTATGTAGTTGTATTTATGCATACTTTAAAAGCTGAAAAACTATTTCAAAAAGCTATGTGTGGTGAATTTTTTCTGTGGCATTGTAGTAGATTTTTGTTTCCACAGTGAAGTTCCAGGACGAGCATCTAGCTTGCTTTTAGGGCCCGTTTTGTACCAAAAACATACACATACCATTAAATACTAGAGAGAGCCGAGCATAGCTACAGGCTCCCTTAGTGATTGCTCCTGAGTAACAAACTCACTGTAAAGGGGTTTTCAGGCTCTCTCCCTCAGGCTATGGTGTCGTTTGCTTATGCATGCCTTTATGCCAAGGACAGACAGTTGCTTTTCTGTGTGGTATACGTGTATATTTTATGACTTTTAATACCATGTTAGAGTGCCATTTTTACCAGTGGGTGCTTTAAAGAGCTATATAACTAGGCCTGTAGGAATAGGCATTCTTTCTCCAGGTACTGTTATAAAGATAGTGCAAAATTCTATAAATCGTAAAATGCTACCTGTTGTCACATACTATGCATCCAATCAAAGTGAATTTTAAGAAATGTATCTAATGACATATTTTGGGTAGAATTTAAGTACTGCACATTTGACGTTTTGCAAGTTTATTTGTAACCTTAATGGGCATTGCTCAACTCAAATATACTCCAAATCTAGGAAGGACAGTTATCTCCGAAGCTCAAATTATACAATTATTTTTATAGTATTTGTTACCTACAAAAGAGCCTTTCCTTTCTGAAATTAGGCACTTTTTTCCTTGTAAATGGAAGAATTTAGAACTTTGGGCAAAAGGAGAACTATAGAAATTGAAATCTTATCCAATAGGGTACTCTGACCTAGTTGTGGAAAATTGTGGGAAGTCAGGACCACATTTGGAGTTCTGCCTTTTGTCATATAGAGCAGAGCGAATATAATGACTCAGACAATTTGCTTAACTTGCCCTGTAGCAGAAATTTTATTTTTATTTATATATATCTATATGTATATTTATGTATATATATATACATGTATGTATGTATATACCTCACAAGGTGTTTAGCCTTTCATAAAATATTTCCAAAAGTTTTCCAAGAAATATAGAATGGTACAGATCACAGCATGAAGAATAGCACTGGGTTTTCAAAACTCCATGAGAGCAGGCTTCTACCCAAATAATGCTCCAAGTTAAATCTATCCTCACAAACTATCCCCTGATTCATTTTGTGATGTCATGTCAAATTCTAACTGCTGGTTACCAAGTGATCTCAATTTTTATAAATTCTAATTTATTTGGAAATGAAAGCTTAAAGGATTTCTTAAGCAATTTCATCTAATGATATGCTTGTTTCAAAATAGGAACTTTAAGAATGAAACATTTAGAATTTGGCAAAAACAAAGTACTTTTTCAAAGAGTTACAATAATTAATGGGAGATTCTTTTTTCTTCTCACGATGTATTTAGGATTTGGGGGAAGGAATGGCAATAACAAGATACCAAGGTTTATTGTGAATCCTGTAAGGAAACATTGGATCGTGTGCTTTATGAATAGATAAAAATGATCTATCATTAGCTTGTCAAGAATACGGAGTTTACTTTCAAACAGCCTGAGTAAACGTGTCCTCATCACCACTCTACAATCTGCTATTATTATTTTATACCACCAATGAAGAAATAATTGATTTTTAACTCTACTCTGCCACCATCCAAATTATTGAAGTTTGAATTTTAATATAGCTATTACTTGAATTTCATTAAGCTGCTTTCTTCATTAATAACTAAATATTCATAATTGGGCAGTAGGTAATATAAAACATTAAATATTAAACTATTGATTTCTAGGGATTGGCAGAGTACTTAGTTAAAAGTGTTTTATATTACCAAATGTATATCTCTGAACTGTGACTATGCAAACTGAAGAAAGAAAGCTCGTAGTGTACAGTTAGGATTTTTGCATCAAGATAGGAATACTTTTACCCTTGTGCACCAAGTTCCTACTTTAGTTAATGAAGAACATTATCTGCTGATGGAGCACAGTGTCCTTTGTTTGTGCAAATAAATTAAAATAATTACATACTCAAATGAGGACTAATTAAATACAGAGCTGTTCTCCTAATTTAAAAGCACAAATACTTTCTTGAGCACATTAGGTTCTGAAAATCGGATATTACGTTTTGTGTGAGCCTAACTGATTAGGCTTACCTTGCATATATAAATTTGTTTTATTTCTGAAACTACCACTAAATCTGATAGCATGTGGGATGATTAATTATGCATTAAGGTGTTTAAAATAGCTTTTCAACACTAGCAGCACAAAAAGAATTTTAAAAATGAGAAGATAATGAAATGCTCAGTATATACATTTAAGATACTTAAAAATTTATATACCTACTTGGCTTACTCTGATTATCTTAAAAGTAGACAAAGCAATATGGTTATTTCATTTTTTTTCTTCAGGTAAATATAGTTCAAAAGTCCTTGTAAAATTTCATGTTAAATTTGCTTATATTTTTCAGTTTTGTGATCTTTGATAATGCTATAGGTCTTGATAGTCCTTTCTTTAGGCAGCCAATGGTCCTAAAAGTCCTACTTTGTTATATGTGTTTTTTTCCAAAATAGGAATATCTTTATTTCCTTTTCCTGTTACATGCCATCATTATGATAAAGAATAATACCTCTATACGGCAATAGAAAGGAGCAGCGGTTTATTGATAAGATGTTTTAATAGGAATGACCCTCAGAAACATGATGCTAAGAAAAAAAAGCCCTATTATAGGAAAGACCACATATCCATTTATATGAATTTCTAGAAAGGAAACCTGTAGGGACAACAAATTAGTAGTTGTCCAGGGGTAGAAATGGGAATTGATTGTTCAGGAGCAGGAGGGAGCTTTTTGAGTGATCCTGGTTGCACAACTGTATGTTTTTTAAAACCATTAAAGGGTACCCTTAAAATGTGTTCGATTTTATGATACGCTATTAGTATGGAGGGTGAGAATGGGAGGTAGAGGAAACTGCTAGAACATCTGTATATTTAGAGTTGAAGAGAAAAGAAGGAAGAGGAATCCTAAGATAGATATTCATAGAGGAAAAAACAGTAAAGAACTTTTGACCAGAGGAAAAAACATTGAGATACCAAGGAAGAGAGACTGCCACCCGTTCCGAATTTCCCTCCCCACCTAACTCCCTTCAGATTGATTGGTTTGCATTTTAGCAGACCCCACACAGGTGTCCTCTTCTCCCCGCCTTGTACCCCCAGTGGCTTGTTCCACGTGAATACACACGTGCACACTCCTCTTTTTTAAAATTTTTGTTAAAATCCTATAATGAAATGCATTTTATTAATTTGGTGGTTTTACTGTATTCACAGTGTACAACCATCATCACTCTCTAATTTCAGAGTATTTCCATTACCTCACAAAGAATCCCCACAACCCCCACACTTCTCACTTTCCCACCTTCCATACCCTGGCAACCGGTAGTTATTTTCTGTCTCTGCGTTTGCTTATTCTGGACATTCCATAAGAAGAGAAGCATAAAATGTGGCCTTTTGTTTCTGGCTTCTTTCACTTGGGGTTCTATTGTGGACATCATATATGTTGAACATTGAAATTTTCTTCATTCTTTTTCCTGGCTAGATACCATTTTATTAAATGGCCAGAATTTAATTTACTTCAGCAGTGCCCTATTGTCAGACAGTTGGGATCTTTGTACGTCTTTTAACCATTTTGAATAGTGCTGCATTGGTACTGGCATCTTCCATTATTACAGTGCCATATTTGCTTTTTATAGTGCTCAGGTTAATAATTACTTAAATGCAGAATTTATTTTATTCCCTAATAGTTCTGTTTAGTATGAGTCTAGTTTTTGATTTGTTGAAGCATGCAAGTCACATCTATGTTTGTACAAGCATTGCTCTGTGATTCTCTATTACCTCAGCTTTTTTATACTACTCTTAAGGAGTGGGATGTGAACACTGGTAAAAGTATCATGTCGCGCCCACACTTCAAATTATTCCTACATTAGAAGGGAAGACTTCATTCAAACTGAGCTGCTTTTTTTTTTTCTTGCCCATTTAGAAGAGTCAGTCTGACAGTGCCATTTTAAGGTCACTGTTTTTACATAGCTTTTTTTTTTTTTAAAGTTCTGAAATATGCCCATTTTAATTTCTCCTTCAGTGGATCTTTGTGCTCATCTAATTTACTCATTTCAGAACATCCCTACCATTTAACTCAATTGTGCTTTAATTATATCAGTACTCATGTTTAGAGAGAATATCAAATATATGGTATGATCTGAAAGTGACTCTGCTCAAACTAGGCCTTGTTACCCAATTTGTTCCTGTTTCAATTCCCAGGAGTTGAATTTTATCATGATAGCAGTCATAAAGACTAAAATCAACATCTCTGCTTCAGACATCTGCAGAAATCTGTTATATCAATTTTTATTGAGCTTTAAGAGTTGAATTACTTAATAAAATTATTTAAAATACTTTTCTTTTGCTTGTTTTTTGTTTGCATGGAGTTGTTTGTTTAGAGGGTATTTTTTGCTTAGGTGTTGTATTTATAGTGTTTTATAGCTTCCTTTTTTTTTAAGATTTTATTTATTTGACAGAGTGTGAGCACAAGCAGGGGGAGTGACAGGGAGAGGGAGAAGCAGGCTTCCCACTGAGCAGGGAGCCCGATGCAGGCTCCATCCCAGGACCCTGGGATCATGACCTGAGCCAAAGGCAGATGCTTAACTGAGCCACCCAGGTGCCCTATGCCTTGCTTTTTTAAAGCACTTTTTAAAAAACACTGTTTCTGAACTGTTTAAATGTGGTACATATTTATCACTGCATGAGCAGTCCTATTGAACAGCATCTTCCAGCTTAAATGCCGATTCAGATACTCCTTGCATGTCTAGGTCTGTCACAAGGTCATGCTTAACCTAGGCTCAGTTTTTAACCATCTCTTCAGACTGTATTTTATTCTGACTGGTCTAGGTCACAATCTTCCTCGGATAACATGGCTTTGGCTTTTTTTTTTTTGGCTTTGGCTTTTTCTATAAAAAATTGAATCATATTT